TAAAAACTTATTGTATCAAATCAGGGAAGAAAAACAAGTAAAAATAATGGTAAAATTAAAATATATCCAGATTTTAATATGGAAATCGATTTTGCATGTCATCGGTTTTGCACAGTACTTTAGACCTCAATTCCTAATTTAAATGCAACATGCACTTTTTCTCAACTTTGTCCCTTGACATTTACAAAATAGTAGGAAGAACTCAAATTAATTGCTTAATTAAAAAGCATAAAGTCATATTTCCTGTGGAGCGGATCTGTTTCAACACAACTTGTACACCATGTACTAGTACAAAACACATACGACTTGTACCACTACTCACCAAAAAGTCCATTAAATGTCAAGTCCATAAGCACACTCCAGCTGTTTTGCACTGCTCCACCAACAGAGGCTGAGGTAAAATACCCCTTTTTGGAGGGATTGGCTGTCATACAACAGCTACAAGTGCAGACAACGCACAATACAGCACAGAGCAAAAGCAGTGGGAGAGTGTGAGCCAAGAACTGCTCAGCAGCCAGCTCTACCCTATCGGGTAGCAAAATGTGGACACACAGTGAAGGTTGCAATGGGTCTGCTCAGCACACACACACCCCTTTCTGAAATTCTCCCCCTTCTACCTACTTAGACAAAAAATGTGAGAATCATCTTTATTCTGAATTCATAACAGATATAAAATTTCATACCCATTATTATAACACTCTCAGCTCTTCTGATTTCTTTTATACACCTTGTACTTTTAAAATTCTTCCTGAATACCTATCATACAAAATAAGAAACGAGTATTATATCTGTTGGTAGGAGAAAATCTAAAATACAAGATCACCTGAGTAATTTTACATTTGTCAGTTAAATGGGCCTTCCCTTATTACTGAGAAATAGAATAGCAATGTAGATCTTTCCCTGGGGCAGAAGATAATTGCTGCAGCCTCACCGCTATGATTTCCCCAATTTACAGAGAAGTAAGTGGAAAGAAGAGGGAGCTGAAGCATTTTTTATTTTGCTCATCAGATCAATGGCCAGGAGATTGTAGAGCCACACATCATTTCCCACTGGATCAGTGAGCAGATACCATTAACTGCAGCTGCAATATCACAGGGTAAAGTGGAGAGAGGTAATGGGCACACAGAGCTGGATACTTGGGTATGGAGGACAGGGAGAGACCAGTGTTGTCTTAAAGTTCACAGCAATATTGAATTAAGTTCAGTGTAATGGATTATTTCAACTCTGTCCTAGTTCAGAGGTATAGTGTAGTACAGATAACACTAGGCAGAATTTTAGTGGCCTTGGGGTGAAGATAAATTGTTCCAAGTCTCTTGAAACCGTGCCTAGCACTCTCTCTTGGAGACCACATCTTTGAAATGCAACATACGTTTAAGTGGACAGTCAGAGTTCAAACATATGCAGTCAGACTGGTAATTTCACAGAGGACTCCATTTGGAATGAATAAGAACATGAGGATAAGGCCATGGGAATCTTTCACCATCTGTGATAATCATTCAGAAAAATCCTGGCACACAATCTGCAAAAGAAAATTCTTTCTTGAGGTTATGATTCCAGGATTTATTTTGAGGTTTCAAATATTACACTTTTTATGCCTTATAATTGTTCTTAAAAACAGGTGATTTTTTTGTGGCATAACTCTTGGAATGAGTTGCCATTCAATAGAAACCACTGCACAAAAAATACTCTGCTGTCAGGCTCAAGGCAGCACTTAGGTCAATTTCCAGTACAGCACTCAATGTAGGCTGCCCTTTCAAATCACAGTTCCCAAAATGAAAGATTAAAGACTGTAAAATCTGCCTAAAGTACATTCTGCTGCTGCTGCCCCTTCACAAGGATGAACCTGCCTCAGCACTTGCTGTGCTACCTCCAAGTAGGCAGTCAGACCCTTGTTTCCAGGACTGCTATTTCCCATAATAGTGAGGGAGTCTGCATCAAGGTATTCCTAGGAGTTTCCAAGGGAGCCCAAAGCCTGCTGAGTTGCTTATTTCTAGTCCTTCTCTCTTCTGGTGTAAAATGAACAAGAAACAACTTAGGGCAATATTAGAAGAATATTCCTGATAGGAAAGTTAGTTCCTAATCCTCTCAATTAGTGATTGAGTTATGCTCAGTACATGACACTTTCATGTTTGCATGTTTTAAAATTCTTACATAAAAAGTACTTAATCAGTTCATGTTCTCCATCATTTCTTTTGACAGCACGTTCCACTGGCTAATCATTTATTCCTGAGTCAGTTGCAGCTTGCAGCACGCTGGTTATTAATCAGATCAGGTGTTGTCTTCATTAACACTGAAATTCAACTGGAGAAAATCGTTCTATTTCAACTAGTCTTATCCCAGTACAGAGGTGAATGTAGACGGAATGGAAACCACTTCCAGACCTGAGGTCTGTCCTCTGAGGGCATGCAAAGGAAAGTCTTGTTGATGATGCTGATTTAGTTTTGTCTAAAGCTTAAAAATGCAACAAATCCAATCCTCAGACCTCACAGTCCAAAGACAGTAAATACACAGACAGAGGAAAAATTTGAAATGCATCTTCTTTTTCCTTTATTTACTATTATTAAAGAATTCTTGATATCGAAAAATTTGCATTTGACTAATTACTTCTTATCAGCATCAGAAATAGGTTCATTTTGTGTGAAGTCTTGGGTGGTAGTTAGGATAGACAGTTACGCACTGGAAAGATGAAGAGAGAGAAGGCTTTGTGGAGGATTTGAGTTGTAGGCAATCTTTGACTGTTATATCGTCCTGAGAGTCAAGTGTCTACCACAGGTCCTCTCTGCAGAGGCTGGCACATCACCTGTTCGCAGTACAGGCACAACCCCTCCCCTGTTTTGTTGGCCCCATGTACCAGCTAGTGACCTGCTATGTGTGACATACAGACTTCTGTAGCAGGAAAGAATCTGCCATGTTTTGCTGCTCATCAAGGTCTGTGTGCTCACAGCAGCCCAGCAGCAGGGCTGCTCATCAGCAACACATCCCTTTCTGACCTTTCAGCAATATGATCTTCCTTTGAGATGTTGCTTCCTTGTGCATAGAAAGGCAGACAGGAGAGATTTGCCTTCAAAAATCCAACAAATGGCTATTTATCTATTTTAATAACGCTGGAATCATGACAGGAGGCTGGTCTACATGAGTGTTATCAGTACGCACGGAAACAGATAAGTAAATGCAAAGGTATAGACGGATGTTTCATTTTCTGTCCTTGCTAAGATAACTAAATCACTTTAGCCCAAATAAAAGTTACAAAACAAAATAAAGATAGCAGACATGCCTACCCATGCATAAGGGAAATGTATTAAGGTAATATTTTAACCTACTTTTATGCATTAAGTGTCTTTAAAAGACACACAGTTAACTGAATTCTGGATTGGTTCAGAGCAATTAAAAACAGCTCTCTGTAGAGTAGTGACAAAAATGTAATAACAACTCTACAGAGTCCAGGCACTAATAACAATGCCTTTCTTTCCCTTATGCTTCTCAGGAGTGAGAGATTAGGACAGCAGTTCCTACCACAAGCAGTTCTATGAATTTGTGAGCAGAATATTACATCTTTATAATCAACAAAAGCATTTTAAATATCCTCCTAGAGACACCAGGTTAGAGAGTTGGGCTGTACAGTGTAAAGTGTGTATGCTTACTTTTCCTATGTGAGCATTTTTTCCACAAATTTCCATAAAAGTTGCCCACAGAACCACACGTGGTCGGATACACAACTTCTTCAGGCTACGGGCAGGTATTGTACATTCTAGCAGACCTAACTATATTTTATATGTGGTACCAAAAGATGTTAAAATCACAAAGAATCCTTACCATTGTCATATCCATCATTACATTTGAGAACATAATCTGTGGCCTTGGAAGAAATTTGCACTCATATAAATAAATATGAGTTCCTTTAAATAAGGGTGAACTTATACATTTTCCTTGTTGGGAACAGCCTGAATAGCTTAGAGAGGACTAGTTGGCATATGCCCCAAGCAGGTGCCAAAGAGCAGAAGAGCAACTAGTGAACAGCCACAGAACAGTGTTTGAGCTTGTAACCTGGCACTCTTAGTGCTATCGGTGCAGCCCATGGTACTTGTGTGTGCAGAACTGCTCTGCTCCATACTCTGCTGCTCCTACTGGTTCTTGCCTGCTCCTTTTGATTTTAGATTTGTCCCCAAGGCTTCCTTGTTGGGCTGGGATGCTGCAAAAAAAATTTTTTTCCTCAGACAAAAGCTTTCTTTTTTCTCCCAATAAAAGCTGGTATTGGAGGGTGAATACTAGGGGTAAACAAGTCCCAGGGGAAGGGTAGGGAAGAAAAAGACTATTCTGAGATAGGAAGGCCCTTATAATGGAGATAAGCATTCCCATGATCATATGATGCTGACTATCTCCCAATGAGTAAAAACTTCCAGCAGTCAGTTCAAGTCCTCCACTGAGATCTTGGATCTTTAATGAAATCAGATAATATGCAGGCTGAGGCAGATGAGACAGAGAAAAGGAACTGGACTTTCCATCCACATTTTGACCTTGCCTGAAGGAATTATACTACAACTATCAAGTACAGTACTATCATCTTTTGGCACTGATTTAGTGAAAGATTTATATTTTATTACCTACTACGAACTTTTACACAGATATTGTCTTGGGGAATAGGCATCCAGTATTTGTATGCATCCAATAAGCATAAACATACATGAAACAGATCTTTTGGAAGAAATACGGCTATGCTTTACCAGTATCACTGTTCCATGAAATAAAAATTATTTTCTGTTTACCAAATCTAGAAACAAACATGTTGAGGATCTTCAAACATGCTTTTATAGGAAATAAGGTTGTGAAAGTCAGGGAATTATTTTGAGCTCAATTATTGAACTCTGAAAGGACTGAAATGGCATGTTCCCTTCCTTATATTTTTCACACGTAGGCTTTCTCTTAAATCTTAATGAAGTGCCCAATCTAGTTTTGAATAGCTCTGGACAGAGATTTACTCCCCCTTCCCCCCCCCCCCTTTTTTTTTTTTTTTTTTTTTTCTGAAGAAGGAATTTATTTATTTATTTATTTATTTATTTATTTATTTATTTATTTATTTATTTATTTATTTATTTATTTTGTATTAGGATTAGCTATTCATAGAGTTGTATTAACATAACAAGATATAGTAGGGATACTTAAATGAGGCACCATCCCTTTCATACTGGTATTAAACCATGCAGAATGATCTAATTATCATGAATTTAGCAAACTAGCAGGTGTGTGAGAACAGAGTAGGGTACGTGGGGTTGTGAGGGTAAAATGCTGCAGAAGCTGCTAAATGAAGGCAGCTTGCACTGCCACACAGGACCACAAGAGCTGCAGATCCACCGTGTTGCTGGCGCTGTTACAGCAGTATCACTGCTCTCTACAAATTTATGGAGAGCAGAGCATGTACACTTGAGGCCAGTAGACGGAGCTCCACTGGCAACACCCTGGAGGCTATGCTTTAATACCTAGCTGATCCCTTGGTGCACAAGGATACTGCGTCTTTTTGCTTCCTGCAA